TTTTAAGTCTTCTAAATTTACATTTGTTTGCAGATGATTTTGATACAAAGCAGTATACCCCAAGACATTTCCTTGTAATTTTTATAAAGTGTCTGAAAGAATTGTGGCTTGTGTTTTGTGTATGGTAATAGTAACCACTATAAAGACAAAGCACTTAAAATACATTTCTGCCTGTACAACTTTTTAAATATTTAATATTTATGTTCCTCAAAATTTCTGGAAATAAAATCTAGACAAAGAAACTGGAAAAATTTCTGGAAATAAAATCTAGACAAAGAAACTGGAAAATAAATAATAGACCAAGTTAGAGTTTTTAACATAATTTCTGTAGGCAGTTAAAATTGCAAATTAGGTAATCATAATATAATCATCAGAAAACAATTGGAATAATGAGTATTATGATTTAGAGATAATTGTTGTAATGGATGGTATGGAAATTCTCAGACTAGCACTTCAAAAGTTGTGACCAAAATCCAATGTATAAGTAAATGTCACTGTTACTTTGTTAGAAGGCACAACCTAATATATTCAGGTATAAAACCCATCTGAATGTACTATGCATATGCAAATCATTTTCAGCTGGGTTATTCTTTGCATTGTCTTTTTTTTTTTTTAATTAAGTGAATTACATTTCTACCATGAGCCAATGTTAAGTTTCCAAAAATTCTATACCACAAACTCTCCTGTGGTTTTCAATTTACTAAGCAACTAGTCTCTGCTTGAGGGCAGAAGAGAATAGAGCAGGTTCCTTGCAATGTCCTCCATCCCTGCTGAGTTCATCAGAATAGCATCAGGGAATCCTGTATCTTGCTTCTTCTTGAAATTACAAATTAGATGCTTCCAGGTGTCTCCATAAAAACAATGTGACTTAGATCATGTATGATAACTAAAATGCCCTCAAGGATCCTGATGGTGTCCCCTGGATGAAGAGACAAGTTTAGGCTTGAGACAAGTCTAATGTGAAATTTGTCCTTCTGATTATATTAAACTGTTGTCATTTTGTGACCTATAGCATGTTAAAGGAAACATACAAAATCTTTGAATGAAAATATGCATGTGTGGTTATTTTTAATATTTTTTTGTTGATTTTTCTTTTTTTTTTTTTTTTTTTTACAGAGAGGAAGGGAAAGGGATAGAAACATGGATGAGAGAGAAGCATCGATCAGCTGCCTCCTACACACTCCCTACTGGGGATGTGCCCACAACCAAGGCACATGGCCTTGATTGGAATCAAATCCGGACCCTTCAGTCCCCAGGCTCTATACACTGACCCAAACTGGCTAAGGCTGCATGTGTGTTTTAATGGAACCAGTTTCACATACAAATTATGCAACTTACTTTATAGTCAGCATCTTGCCATGAAAACTTTCCATGAGATAATGAGATAAAAAGACAGCTTTAACATTACAGTGATTCACTAATGTTTTTAATGTATGAATTTGACACAGTTTATCCTAAAATCTTCCATTTTCCAAGTCTGTAACAATGATTATATGTAGTTCTTATTTTTTGTTGCATTTATCAATTATCAAGTTATTGTTCTGTATTTGTACTGTTGGCAAGAGATTATTTTGATTTTTCTGCAATATGCATACTCCCCTTCTTTTTTATTTATTAGTAATGTCTATCTTGTTCCTGATTTTCATAGGGATAACTTTAGTATATTGCTTTAAAAATAGTTTTTGCATTTAATTTCTGATAAAATATCTTCATCATGCTTAAGATGATTCTTTAGATTTTCTCTTTACTTTGATTTTTTTAATCTAAGAACTTTTCTATACCTACAAAATGATCATATTTTTCTCTCCCCTTGTATTATATAAGAAGTCTCCTTTATCTTATTAATAGTGAATTTCATATCAAGTTTAAAAACCTGAGTAACAATGGCTTAAGCATAAAAGGCTTATTTTTGTCATATCTACTATTTCTGCAAGAAAGGATCTGCACACACATACATGAACATACACACATATCATATCCATACTTTATCTGAAAGTTTGTGCCAATTGCTAAATAGAAACTTGAGAATCTTTCTAGACCTTGCTTATTCAGCATCTACTTCTGACTGATTACTCAGTTATGATATTTCTTTATTCTATCCTCTTTTCCATATCCTTAGAAACACTATGTCAGTTTAAATGGAAACAAGTCTTACAATGATAGTTTGACCTAATTTACTGCTTCATGTTTCACTTCTAATTCATTTTCTCAGATCTGTCAATAAGACCTTTTTTTCATAAGCTTATTAAAAACTAGAGGCCCTGTGTGCATAATTCCTGCACAGAGTGTGTGTGTGAGGGGGGGTAAGGGGGTCCCTCAGCACTCTTTTGCAATCCAGGAATGCTGGCTTCTAACTGCTAGCCTGCCTGCCTGATCACCCCTAACCACTCTGCCTGCCTGCCTCATTGCCCCTAACAACTCACCTGCCTGCCTGATGCCCCTAACTGCTCCCCTGTCTGCCTGATTGCCCCGAACCACCCCTGCCTTGGCCCCCACCACAACAGCTTCATCTGGAAGGATGTCAAGAATGATATCTGGAAAGTTATTCTGCTGTCCAGTCTCATTAGCATATTATACTTTTATTATTACAGATGTTGCTTCCTTACTTAAGATCATTCAACAGCTCTCTATCAGCCTCTAGGGAAAACTCATTTTCTTGACATGATGTATGAGGTTCTTCATGGTCTTGACTAACTTTATCTCCCACCCTCCTTTTTTTTTTTTTTTTTTTTTTTTTTACCAAAATGCTAGTTGTTCACCAGCTAACAAACTCAAAGCCTGGCATAGGAGAAGCTGTATTAATATGAACTGAATAAATGAGTAGATGAGGAAAAGACTTCTAACTTGCTCAGACATATGCCAGGCTATAGTAAAATATCCCCATTAAAAACAACAGTGTCTTAGCTCTCTTTTAACTTGGATAATTGCAGCTTTCAGATTAATTGGATGGACATACCAAATGATTAGGGGGGGGGAGTCAATTCCACATTTTATGGTAATGACTTATTTTTATTAATATTCTAAGCACTCATAGGGAGATACTGATCTTATTGCCTATTTACTTCCAGGAACAATAGCTCAATACTAACTATGCCAGTATGAAAATAGTTGCTAGGAGCACATAGTGTTCAGAGTTCAAAAGTATAGCACTAAATCTTTCCATCAAGCATGCAGATTTATTCTGTAGTGGAGGGGCACACTTAGCTGTTAATTGATTTTACTACCTAAAATCATTAGAAGTAATCTTTGTTTCCCATTTTTTTATGGATCATTTCTAAATTATGCATTAAAAAAAAACTTCTTTGTGATAAAATCTTATTTACCTTGTTTTATGACTTGGGGTTTGGGCTGTTGTAGAGCAAATAATTGAGCATATGCAAGTTTGTATTAAAAAAAAAATTGGTTCCAACTGTCACCTTCATCACCTTCATGGTGGAACGATATAGTTGCTTTTTTTCTGAATACCAATGGTGGTTGAGTTTATTGCAATAAAATATGATCTTGCCCTGGCCAGTGTGGCTCAGTTCATTGGGTATCATCCCATGCACCAAGGGATGGCCTGTGGGATTCCATTTAGTGCACATGCCTGGGTTGTGTGCTTGATCCGCAGTAGTAGATAGATGTTCCCTTCTCACATTGATATTTCTCCCTTTCCTCCTCTCTCTAGAAATCAATTTTAAACTATTTTAAAATATTGTCTTGTAATTATATATTTGTTTTATGAATATCGATATTTAGTCAATAAAATCATGCATTTCCATTCTATTCTCTTAACATGTAATTTGAAGTGATTTATTTTCTTTAAATTATTCTTGCTAAATATGTTTAAGTAATTTAGCAATATATTTACATTTTTAAATTGCGTTTGAAACTGAAGTCCTAATTGATTAAATGGAGCCATATGACCAGATATATTTTGTCAACTTCCTTTGGATTTTATCTTTCTTTTCTTTGACTTCACTTTAATAAGTTGCACTATTTTGGACTTTTCTGTTATTTGGAGTCATGTGCTAATAAAATTTAAATTGTAATTTAACCATTATAAAAAAAGAAAGAAATTAGACAAGGAATTGAAGTGTGCAGAGAAGCTTTTTGTTTTACATTTCTCTTACAAGGTAAGATTCTATGGACAGCTATTATTTTTTTCCTAGCTTTATGTAGAAGAGTGATAGAATGCATTAATAGAGCTAAGTACATATTTAAAACCAAGGAATAAAGGACAAAAACACTAAAACAGAATGCTCAAGTAAACATAAAAGTTTAGTAAAGAGAAAATGGACAAAGTTTGGGAACACTTAAGAGAAAATAAAAGAAATGGCCTTAAAAATATATAGGGCAGTTAATAGTTTAAAGTAATTAAAAACGAGTAATTTTTATTTTTAAAAATCAGTTTGACAGACATTTTATTTAAATAAAAACAGAACTCAGGCATTTAGCTTTCCATACATGAATTGAAAACATTCAGTAAAGTATTGGGTTAATGATAAATGATGGCCTAAGTGATGAAATTTAGATAATACTTAGTTGCATAAGTACAACTTCTTTTGTTTTCTCTAGCATTCCTGATGGTATATTAATATATGTTTTCTTTCTTTCTTTTTTTAAATATTAGTTTTAACTTTCAGTCTTCCATTCTGAGCCATCCTAATAAATTGAAAAATCATTTTTATCTCTTTTCTCATTTATGTAAAATTCCATGTCCAAATTTTTTATGACAGGATCTACATGATTTAGTTCAGGAATTCAATGAAGAATCAAAGTGATATCTTTTCCAAAATGCGCTATGCTTTTATATACAAAGCATAGCTCTTTCTGCATTTCAAAATATTTTATTTTATTCTATCACATTGTGTTTCTAAGTATGAAGATATAGCTGAAATACAGTTAAGTACCCATATACCAAAAATAACTATAATTTTTCATATTTTTCTATGATTTTTCCAGAATATACTTATAACATGCAGTATATTTATTTTGTTTTACTTTTTTTCTCTCCTAAGAACGACCCACATTTCTCAGGAGACCAATTAACCAAGTGGTGCTGGAGGAAGAATCAGTTGAATTTCGTTGTCAGGTCCAAGGAGATCCTCAACCAACTGTGCGGTGGAAGAAGGATGATGCAGACTTACCAAGAGGAAGGTAAAAACATCACATGCATGTAAAATTATTAGATAATCAGTGAGTAATTAGGAAAAAACCCCAATTGCACCAACAAACACTCTTAGATTTTGGTGTATTATTTTCGCACACCTGATTTTTACACATGCAAGCCACATAGCTGCTATTTTATACACTTAAGTCTTCCAGGCTGGTTCTCCACTTTATCTATTTCTTTGAATATCAAGGACTCCTGAGATACTTATTTCTTCATGATCTCCGATAGGTCTGCTATTCTATCACTGCTCAACCATTGACTCCCATTCCTGTTGCTTCCTGTAGCTACTGCTCTGTTGCCCTGATGCTGCAGCCCACACTGGACACTGGCTGCCTTTCTTTGCTGCCCAGAGCATCGCTAACAAAAGGCTACTGAATATAGCTGGCTGTAAGGTCTGGAGTAAAGGAGATATCTTGTTTAGCACATTCTAAAGGGGCAGCAAGTAGGTAGCATCACTGTCCACATAGGCAATTTTCCCCTTAGGGACTCTGTGTCACTTTCTCACTTACCATATCATCATGGAGAATTTCTTCTCCATTTCTTCTATCTTATTCTTATTACTACCAGTAAACCCCAAGCCCAATCTTTCACCACTCTAGCTTAAGTTAAAAATTCTTGTTATCCTATATAATAAAAGACTAATATGCAAATTGACCTAATGGCAGAAGGACTGGTTGCTGTGATGTGCACTGACCACCAAGAGGCAGATGCTCACTACAGGAGCTGCTCCTGGTGGTTACTGTGCTCCCACAGGGAGAATGCAGCTCAGCCAGAAAACAGACTCATGGCTGGTGAGTGCAGTGGCAGTGGAGGAAACCTCTTCAACCTCCACTGCAATGGTAAGGATTTCCTAATGCCAGCTCAGGGGAGTAGGCCTAAGCCATCAGTTGGACATCCCTGAAGGTTTTCAGACAGCTAGAAGATACAGCCTGGGCTAAGAGACCCCCTCCCCCAAGTGCACAATTTCCTGTACTCGGCCTCTAGTATTTTATAAAATATTATTAAATATTTATGTCTAAACTGTTCCAATATTTTGCCTTTTATGATCAAACTAAAAGCCTGGTGCATGGATTCATGCTCCAGTGGGGTCTCTCAGCATGGCCTGCAGGGATCAGGCTGAGACCAGCTCTCCAACATCCCCCAAGGGGTCCCAGATTGCGAGAGAGCTCGAGTGACACACCTGGAATCAGGTTCCCTCCTCTCTGGTTCTGGATGTGTCACCTGAGAACTGCAGCTGCCAAGTCACTACAGCTTGGCAGCTCCTGCATTGAGTGTCTGCCCCCTTGTGACCAGTGCATGTCATAGCTACTGTTTGGAAGGTCAAAAGGTTGGCTGGTAGGCCAGTCATTTAGGCTTTTATATACTAGTACATAGATAAGTCATTTTTTTCTTTTCTATTTAATGAGCAAGTCTAGCTTTAAGATTTGTTTTGCTTTTCTCTTAGTCATACCTTCTGAAACTAAATCCATCACATCTACTGTAATCATAAAATATCACTCTCTGCTTTTTTTGGTACATTTTTCCTAAAACAATAAATTAGTTTTCATTCAGTTAAATTAAACATGATTTTATGGAAGTCATTTGCCTTTTGTGTATTTTCACTGACATTGCTATCAATACTTTCCAAATTTATATACTCATTTCAGTATCTCAATGCCATATATCCTGAGGCCTATAATATTATACTTTCTAAAGTCATATCATCAACAGCACTAGCTTCAAATCAACCAAACATTTTAAGTAATGAGAGGTTCTTTGGAAACTATGAGAATAAGACAAATGAAATATTTAATTCAGTTAATTTTTCAGCTAAAGAATAGGGAAAGTTGCTTCTATGTATCTTTTGTCACTTTGCTGTCAGATATCTCATTTTAAAGGATTGTTATCAGGTGAAGTCTGTGAATGTGAGGCTCCTCAAGCCTTATCAATGGAAGAGCAAGTTAAAAAGGATTAAGCATTTGTGGAGTTTAGTTGTTTGTGTACATCTGCCAGGTGTAATCAGTACTTTCCCTCATATTTGAGAGCACTTATTGTATAATTTTAAAATGCTGATGTGATATAAGATTTAGGATTAAGAGATTAATTATATAAAAAAATTTAACCTACGCTAAATAAATGTCAACTTTTATTTACTGGAAGTAAATAGCTTTGTTCAAAATGACTTAACAAATAACAATAAAAATGCTTTCACTTTGGAATAATTTTGGATTTGTAGAAAAGTTAAAAAGATAGTACAGAGAATTCCTTATTAATTACTATGAAACTCTTCCAACTCCCAATTAACAAATGCTAATATATATTATGTTTTTTTTGTTTTGTTTTTTGGGTTTTGTTGTTGTTGTTGTTGTTTTTACATTATTTTGGCTTCACCAGTGTTTCATTAATGTCTTCCTTCTGTTCTAGGATTCAGTCTAGATTTTGTTTAATTGGATGTCATAGGCTATGGCATTTAATTGGCATGTTTTCCCAGTTTCCTCTGGTTCTCAGTATTTCCTTGTTTTTATGATCTTTTCTGGCTTAAAGTGTACTGGCCAGGTATCCTGTAGAACATTCCAGAAACTTGGATTTGCCTAGTGTTTTCTCATGATTAAACTGGGTTTGTGGAATTATAGGAAGAAAGTCAAAGAGAATGTCATCACTTGATATCAGGTTTATGTGATATTAAGAGTGACATTATATCAACATGGTGATCCTACAATTTATAATTCTTAAATATTATCCAGTTAACAAAAGCTTTAAAAATAAAAATAGTAGTATTTAGCATTTTAATCAGTGTATGTGTTTGCATTTTAATGGGTATATGTCTTTGCATTAAAATTTGAGCCCAGTTTGATTTGTTCCCTGATCAATTATAGGTCAGCAATTTTCAACCTATATGCCCCAAGGATTTTTAAAACATGCAATACCTGACTGTTTAGTCAGGGCCACTGACCTCTTTCCCCTTAGATTGTCAAACAAAAATCGACAACAGCCAACACAACAAGAGCTGACTATGTGAAAAATTCAAAATCATACCTATTTTTTTGTCATATAGGCAAAAATATAGTATCTACTTTGGTGTGCCACAGAATTTTAGTAATTAGTTTGTATGCCATGAGATGAAAAAGGTTGAAAATCACTGTTCTAGATGTTAGGTCATAAATCTGACAACTTTAGTTGCTATGGAAAACCTTGCCAAGTTCATTTGCTACAAAGTTTAAATAATGCATACAAATCAACAACAGTATTAAAACTATGTCTGGAATGTGTGATATATAGTCCCCTAAAGATAAGGTTGAAACTTTGAGAAATCTTACCTCTGCTACTCCCTTTAAAACCTTTTCATAGATTCAGCCTCTTCAAACTTGTGTTATTGGTAAAAGAGCATTGCAGAGTTTCATGTGACCAGATAAATATTTTTGAAGCAATATGCAAATGGAAATACTGTGTAAGCTTTAAATTGTATTTTAGAAGGGCTTAAAGCAAGGATCAGTGAGATACAGAAATTAAGGTTAGTATTTTTATCATGATAGATTGCATGTACATTTCCTAGAATTCTCAATCTTTAAATGCTATGTCAGAGGAGCTTATTCTTTCTTACATTTGGGTGCATTAGCATAAGCTTCACTAAAGCATAACGAAGGGTAAAAGACCTCTTTACTGGTGAGGAATAACACTAATGACATTTAACCAAGCATAGCCTAAATGAGCAACATTGGTTCTATTACATTATTTAGATTTCAGACTAGGGAGATGACCATTGTTCTTGTGTAAGCAATTGTAGTGGAGTGGTGTGGAGGCTGACATTTCTTTGGCATAACATTTAAAGCAATTTGAATAAGGTTTGTGTAGTGGTTCATGCTTAACACATTTATAGTAAAGCTTTGTAGGGCAGCTGCATAGCCTATAATTACTATGTAAGTAATATGTGACTATTTTTCTTTTGGAGACAAGAAAAGCTTTTCAATTCAAGTTTAAATATATGAAATGCTGTGATAGCTATTTAAACCTTCAATACAGAAGTTATTTGTGCCAACATTTTAGTAACCAGAGTTGAATTAAGAGAATATTTTTTTTTCCTTTTCCACAAAAATAGTTTTTTAAAGTAATACCCATGTGCCTCTTTAATTTAATCTTAAGCTCTTAACCTTTCTCATTAACTATCTTTTATAACATTATTACATTCCTTAGATTATTAATATTAAAGACAGTTTTTTGATTAAATGAATATTTCGGTAAAGTGGGAAGAGTATTAGTTACTAAGGCTAACAATAATCCTGATGACCAACCAGGAAAATTTATTATTTATTTGGAATTAATAAGCATATGACAAAGGGACAAAATAGTAAGGAGCCTTCATTTCATATATGTTATCATTAAAATATTAATTGTTTACAGAAACTTTTAAAGGTTTTTCAGAAAGAAAAAAATATCTCTTTTTATGACTGTGTTAAGTATCAGTATCTTTTTTCCAGATTTCCAAGTATCAGATTGGGTGATGAATAAAAATATTTACATACTGAATATATTGCAGAAAGTCAAAACTGAAGTAATCCTAGTTTCTTCCTTGGATGCCAAGTCTTTCTTTTTCAAGCAAACTTAATGCTTTTTGCTAATTAATATTCTTATGATGATTAAGCACATCTTTTCATATAGTGTTTCATTTAAAAGAAATTACCAGAATGTTTAATAATTGGTTCAAATTACCATCTTATGCCATGTCCCATGATAACATAGAGATCTTATATAGTATTGTTATACCAAAATAAAAAATACACAGATGTGCTGAAGCTGTATGGAAAATACCATATTGTATTGAGATAAGGGAAACAAAATGCAATAAACTTACAACCAAATAAATAAAAATAAAATTGAAACTGAAACCAGTTTGACTCAATGGATAGAGCATTGACCTGCGGACTAAAGATCCCAGGTTCGATTTCCGTCAAGGGCATGAATCTTGGTTGTGGGTACATCCCCAGTAGGGGATGTGCAGGAGGCAGCT